GGCGTAGCGGGCGATCCGCCGTGAAGATGGAGGCGCCGTTTTACCCCGAGGAAGGACTGGAACTGCTGCCCGACTTCGTGCCGCTGCCGGGTTTCGGTACCGCCGGCGGACCTGGAGCCGATGCGGCGGCGGGGCAGAAGCTGCTGCTGGGTGCCGGGAAGAAGCGGGACCTGCCGGCTGCCGCCCCCGCGCCGCTCCCGGGGCCCTTCGCTCTTCGCCCGCCTGCCGGCGCCCGCGGCAGCGCGGCGGCTCTGCGGGCCGTTCCTCTACCGGCAGCCGGTGACGCAGGAACAGGAGGGTTTCGCCGACGGTTTCGTCAAGGCCCTGGCCGACCTGCACAAGCAGAACCAGCTCCTGGCGGCACCGCCGCCGCTCTCCGCGCCGGGACCCTGCTGCACCGCCCGCCCGGGGCCACCGGGAGCCCCCGCCACTGCCGCCGCCGACCCTCCGGCCGTCTACACCAACTTGAGCGGCTTCAACCCCGCGGGGCCGCTGAGCCCCTCGGGCAGCGCCTACCCCTCCGCCTCCGCCCCGCCACCGCCGCCGGGCCTGGCCTTCGGGGCCGCGGGTCTGGGAAGCGGCCGACTGCCGCCGGCGCGGTCCCTGGAGGAGCCGCAGACGGTGCCCGAGGTGCCGCCGTCGGCGGGCGGGGAGGGTGGCGGCAGCGCGCCGACGCCGCCGTCGCTGTCGCCGCTGGACGCGGAGAGCCAGGAGCGGCTGAAGGCAGAGCGCAAGCGGCTGCGAAACCGCATCGCCGCCTCCAAGTGCCGCCGGCGGAAGCTGGAGCGCATCGCCCGGCTGGAGGAGAAGGTGAAGGCGCTCAAGGGGCAGAACGCCGAGCTGGCCGCCACCGCCAACCTCCTCCGCGCCCAGGTCACCCAGCTGCAGGGTCGCGTCCGCAGCCACCTCTCCTCTGGCTGCCACATCAACGCCGCCGGGCATCCTCCTCCTCCTCACGCCGCCGCCCAGCCGCGGGAGACTCCCCCCGAGGCGGCCGCCGCCGCACCGGAGACCAGCGCCTGCTGAGGAGGGACACCCCGCCGGCTCCGGCCCCAGGGACCCGGGGGCACCGCGGGGCCAAGGTGCGCGCTTGCTGCCGCCCTTCTGCTATTATTATTATTTTTATCATTAATTATTATTATTTATTTGCGCCCGGAGACGGCGGGTTTTTTGCGGGAGCCGGGTGTTGCTAAGCATTTCCCGAGTTCTGTTGATGTCGCATTCAGCAGCGAGGGTCTCCGTGGGTGGTTCTGGGGCACGTGGTTGTTAATTTTTCAGTGAAGTACTTGAGGTCTGTAGAGATTTCCGAAAATAAGAAAATTACTGTTTACAGAAAGATTCAACTTTATTTTCATGGGGGATATAATACGTGTGTTTCCTAATACACCTTACTGAACTGTATAGGAATGGATAAGCTTTTCAAACTTAAAAAAAATTAGCCGGAATCGTACCTTTTGAAAAGATGTGCGTGTATATATATATTTAAAATATAATATGGCTATGTATATTTTCTTGGTATTGATAAAGAACCTTTTTTAAAATACTGTCTTTCTCTAGAGCTTTAATTTGCCATTGAGAGTTAAGACAGCTGTGTGGGTGCTCTTGCACTTATATGGCTTTGATTTTCAAATCGAACCCTGGAGGGAAATGATTTTTGTTGTAAATCTTAAAGCAGATTGAATTGCATTGCTGACTCAGTCATAGGAAAATAGTTTTCTAAACCTGTATGCTCCATATTTCTTGTGCCAGTGCAAACTTGGGGCATTGATAGTTATTTATTGAAACTTGAACACTTTTTGGACGTTGCCTAGACCTTATTTTTCTAGATAACACGTCAGTAGAGAAAATGGTTACTTTGGCAAAAAGAGCTTTATTTTTTTTCCCTTCACTGTGTACATTCCAGTAGTGTGTGCTCTTTCCATAGTATAGTAACAATTCAGTGCTATACAGAAAAGGGCTCAGATTTGGGGTGGGTTAGCTGTAAAGGTGATAATTCCATTGTATTCTGTTTGAATAAATCACAGAAATATTATGGAGGACTAGATTTATTTTTCAGTAGAAATCTGTGTATCTTGCTTCTTGGTCTACTTTGTTCTAAAGAAACTTTCTGCAATACTCTAGAGACAGAGTCAATGCTAGAATGTGAAGTGTTTTTCTGTTTGGGAAGATTCAGTGTGATTTATTTCTTTGTCAAGAATTTACTAGTAGAAGAGTATAGCAAAGGAACTATTTCTTCTGATTAGACATAATCCTCAATAAGTTTTTGAAAGCTTTAGGTCCCTTGCTCGGTGCCACTGCCTTCCATGCTTCTGCTGCACCTGTGTTTTTCGAGCATAGCCGCTAGCGCAGCGCTGCCGAGCCCTGTGGCAATGGTGCGGTGGGAAGGGTCTGTCGGAGTGTGACTGTCACCTCACCAGAAGCCCCTTTGTGCAGGGGCCGCGGGCCGGCCCTGCTGCTGGGGAAAGGCAGGGCTTCTCCTGAGCAGATCCAGCTGCAGTATGGGGCCCTCTTCTCTCGTTGAAACTGTGCTAAAAACTCTGCTTGAACTCAGAGGCAAATCTTTCATGGGGATATGTGTCTGTGCCAGCTGGTGAAAAGGGGTATGAGGAGCCAAGAGGGCATAGACGTCTCTATGTGTACAGCAATTGCTCAGATCTGTTAAAGCCACTCAGGAGCTGGTAAACATCTCTCACATCTTCTGAAGGCTACAGCTGATGATTTGAAATCCAGTAAGAATGGGATAGACTCACGGTTTTTCATGCTATTATTGGGGATATGTGAGTGCTATCTGTTCAGAAAGTTGAGCTGAAGCAATCAAGTGTATGAGCAAAAGCTCATACACTTTTAGTGCAGTCATTCCTAGCACATGTATGAAGTTATATGAGAATGGGTAGTTACACTCTTTCTGTAGCTGAGATAGCTTGGAGGATATTTCTTAATGCATATGCAAATTAGGTAGAAGCCATATTAATAATTGTATAACTGTTCGATCATGTCACCAGAGCCTTTTTTGGTGGTTGAAATGATTGCCTGCAACAGTACATTCTGCTGTTAGAATTACTAATGAGCAGATTTAAAAATATTTTGATCTTAACACAGGTTCAAAGACTTCTTAGGGGCATTCTGAACCATACTGCATACAATCTGTAGCACTGCCTGTTACATAATAACTGGGTGAAAAATAGGATTTTTTCTTTGGTAGTTGTCGTCTGCAGAGATGCTGCAAGTCTGGAGAAACTGCTAAAAAACTTCTTCCCCCCACACTTAACACTTTTCCATAGTGAGTAAGGTAGATGTGAGATACTTTACTGCATATGTAATAAGGTGGGGATTTTTTAAGGAATCCTGGAAGAAATTGTAAGAATTTTTGGGTGAGCATCTCTTCTTTGGTCCTTGTCTTTGTATTTGAGTGTAGGGCTAGGTAAAGATCTTGTGGTAGAACACAGAACAACGACGAATGCAGCTGTGCAATGCTTCTTTACTTATTTTTAATTTCTGCTCATAATAGATTAGCAATATCCAAGCAACATAGGGGATCCATAAGGCATGGGAAATCACTGCAGTTCCCCTTCCCAGACACAGGCAAGACTCTAGTGGGCTATAGTCTAGCAGGGTTACAGTGAGCTCCCCCTTTCCAGAATGGTAATGTTAAAGCTGAAAACCACCCCACATTACCTCACTTGAGTTTGAACTATGTGCAAGAGCAGTCTCACACACAGCATCTCAAAGACCTCATATGGTAACTTCTTTGATAGCCTGCTTTCTGTTCTAGCTGACATCTGCAGTGGTAGAAGTGGTGACAGGCCAGCTCTCTTACCCTGATGACTGATGAGAGATTACTAGTGAGGCTGGCAGTTTCAGCTCCCTGCCAGAGGCTACCGCTCTGGTAGTGGAGTCATCCAAAAGAAATATGTTTTCTGTAGAGTGGTCAGTTACCTTCATAAATGGCTTTTTTATCTGGCATTTAGGCTGAGAAACAGGATCTAACAGTGACATGACCAAAATTTGAGAATAGTGTTGGGGTGTTTGTACTTTTTTTTCCTGCTTGGACTGGTTCTGCTAGGGTTGCTGCATTTTTCCTGATTTTGAGTTGAAAGCCTAAGCACCTAACACTTTAAACCAATATTAAAAGACTCAGGAGTACCTACCTGTTGCAGCTGTCAGACTTGATTGTTCCTGTCTTCTAAAACTTATCAATACTCTGACTTTTAGCCCTGCAGTGTTCATAAACCTTTAAATATGGCCTCTCTATTTTGTCTGCCTTTTTTCTTCAGTTTGTTGTTAAACATAAGTGTATTTTAGGTTTTTTTGGTTTTCTGCCGAAAACTTTGGTCACTGTGAGACATTAAAAGAAAGATACTGGGTAAAAAATTTTCAGACTGTTTATATGATTTGCATCCATGTAGCTCCTTTTCAGTAATTTCAAGCAAGCTGGCTGTGTGTTACTGTAAGGGAAAAAAAAAAGAAAATTACCAAAACCCCTCAAAAACAAAATAAAAAAGCAAACAAAAAAAAATTAAAATCCCCAAATAAAATAATTATGTTCACTGTTAGCTCAGTGCTTTTTAGCATTTTTTTTTCATTCTTCAAAACTACCATGCTTTGTTATACTTGTGCATACTATTGTCTAGTCCTTGCAAAGACTCATGGTGCATGACTTGATTTGCAGGCTACCCTTCATGTCTTTCCAATATGGTTTTCAGTCTAGATGTGAACCCATGACAAACATCCCCTGTTTCTTTGCCCCAGGTGTAATCTCCTCTGGAGACTAAATAGTCTCCTTTGTCTGTTTTGGTTGCTGGATGTGCATATGGTTTTTTAAATTTTTGAATGTGCTTGAACTAATATCTTGGTTTAGATGTGAAGTGCCTTCTTATTCAGGTGCTACAGCAAAAGAGTTTGATTCATATATGGATTTGATATATTTGACTTGTTATCAGATCTTTTCTGTCTTGGGAAGTAGGAGGGGGAATGTTTTCAGTAAGAGAAGACTTGTTCACTCCTTCCTTGGGCAGAGGGTGGAACCCCCATCAGATCTGGTGCTGCTTGATGTGGGTGCAAGGAAGCCACTCTGATAGCATTGACTAAAATGATGCCATTTGATGCTAGGAAAGTTGATTGGTTTGGTCTTCAGTGTAGTGAAGTCTGTTGGAATCACAAGGTCTCCAGAGAGGTCCAAGTAGCTGGTGAGTTGTTCTTAAAACTTTTAATGTGATTCCAGGTCGAGCCCATTCGGTATGCTTAGAGAGCCTTTCCAAAAGCAAACACTTTGCATACTTTGAGAATCATAGGTGTTTGGTCATGATAAGTCCTGATCATGGTGAGGAGTGATTTTGGTGGTGATGGTCATGTTTTCTGTTATAAGACTTTGATGGTCTTCCAAAAGATAAATATCTCAACACATCTGGACTCTTCACTGTATGCCAGTAGTTACTACTGACTATCATGCTCTGTTTGAGATCAAGGGTGGATCTATGACAGTTCTCTGTCATCTTGGTTTGTGTTTGTATCTTTCCAGAAGAAAGAGTCATGAGGCATCCTTCATTCCTTTAAATATCTGATTGACTCTCTGTCTCACCTTTGACAAAGGAGTGACCTCCCCAGGTTAAGCCCTGAGGCATTCTGCAGTTTGCGACTGTTAAAGTGGAAATTGATTTGGCAACTAATTTTTAATCAGTTATATAAGTGATTGATGCTTCCCAAAATACTGAATAGTATTGTTTGATAGTGTCTGAAGTACAGGTGCATGCCAGGTCTGAATTATTAGTTGTGCTGAAAATAACATCTTGGCTGCCATAACTAGAGTCCTAACTATTTGAATCCAGCAGCTTCTTAGAGAAAATTTTTCTATGTATGAGATTAATATGCAAGAGAAAAAGACCCATCTACTTGTAACATAGATCATTCTTTGATGCATTTTATGTGTCCTGCTTCTGGAGTGCAAGTTAAAAAAGGAAAGCAATGAGTAACATTTTAGTTTATTCATATGTGCAGCTGTAATTGCTGCTGGGTAATTTTGTTCTTTCCTTACTTGATTCTCCAAGTTTCTATGTTTAGCAAGTGGACAAATTGGAGTATGACATATCTGTGTACATATTTGATTTGTACAAAATCACTTCCTTTTTTCCAGGTTTTTTTTTAAAAGTTTTACTGTAAGAATGAGTGTTGAAGAGTTCTTACCCTGTTTTGATGCTCATTGGTCAATTCTTTTGATCAGTAGTGACTGCTGTAGTGACTCTGTAGTCACTGCTCATCTTCCAGCAGAGGTGGGCATCTAAACCCAGTAAAGTCTGTCAGGGATTCACCTCTTTCCGTATTTGGCAATACCTGTATCAGCAGAAAAAATCTTGGACAAAAAACTTTCACAGTGCATAGTAATCCTGCAAATGTTAACTCATCCTTCTTACACCACAGTCACTTGCGTCAGGGTTTAGTGTACCTGATGAAGAATGATAAATGTTCCTGTGACAAAGTGCAGAATCTGAAGTTTGTAAGACCCTTGTTAATCTTGCCGCACATGGTGCAACTCCACTATGAAGATGTTGAATTAAATCTGAATATATGGAGACTCAGGTCTTTATGGTAAATTATGGGGGACAAGAGGTTTTAGTAATTCTTGATTACTCCTCTCCAGTGTTTCAGAGATCTGTCTCTTTTTATTCTATGAAGTGTCTTGCAGCTGTTTGTGCTGTGAAACTTCTCTCTTCATAAAGACTCAGTTACTTGGAGGCGGGACAGAAGCGACTTCTCCATGAACTGGTCATGTGTGACAAGCTAAATGTAGGTTTCTGAGAAACACTGCAACAGTGAGTGCACAGTAGAGAACCTGCTGTTGTTTCTGTGTTGCTAAAAGAGTCTAGAAATGCATTCACATAAATCATAACGAGAGTAGCTTTCCGAGGCACCATCCTGTTGCCTTGCTACGGGCATTGATCCTCGCTGTTTGCCTTAGTCTGGGAGCACTTTTTCTTAAGCTATTGCATACCTGAAGGCTTACTTTCTGCATCAATGTAGTCACAAACCGGATCTCTGCTTGGATGTTGAAACAGTTAGCTTCAAATGGCTCAGTCAGAATGCCTTGCTCTAGTTGTCTCTGGAGTGTCCCACTGGGGAGACAGTGGTGGGGGGAAGGAAACCAATGCAGGATCTGTATCTTCACACCAGTGCTGTGCACTGAAATGTAACTTTCAGTAGAGTAGTCTTGACAAAAGTGTGTTGCTGATGTAAAAACTCTGAATCTTGATCTTGTGTCTGCATGGGACATAAGTTCTTGTGCTGGAGTCCTGCTTGGGCAGTATCCTCTCAAGTCAGTGAGGACTAACTGAAGAAACAGCAAATCCAGCCTTTATGAACTAATTCTTCTGAAGCACAGATACCTGGAAATTCATGTCAAGGTGTTGTGTGTAGACATCAGCATACATAGAGAAGGGGATGGCCAAAGGAAGGAACTGGGATTTTCTTAGCTGCAACAGTACACAGTGGGGTTTTTCATATGCTTTTGTTGTGGTCAAATTCTTCCAGAAGACAACTATGCTGCATTTCTTTGTGTGATCACAAGGTGATTTTTTAGATTTCCAGTTAAATTGGAGGACTGTCAAGGCTTGCAATGCTAAATTAACACAAAAAGAGAACTTACTTTGAAGTCACATTTAGCCTTAATGCTATCTGAAATGCTGCAGTTCATGTGGAGTAGTTTACTTCAAGGTGAAATTATGATTATCATAAATAATGTTTTAAAGTAGTCACCCTAAATAATTACCTACGTGATGTTTGCTTTTTTGTCTGCTGTCAAAAAGTCTTTATCCATAGCATAGCTAGCTGTAAATGGAGCTTTATTCTCAATTTCTAGTACTAGTAACAAATAGGGTCTGCAATAGTTTCAGGAGTAAATGTTCTGGTTAAAGAATGACCATTTCTTTAGCCAGAACAAATGCTTTGAAGTGATGGTTGGGTTTGAAGCCTTGCTGACATGGAGATAATAGATATGACCAGTTCACTGTGCACTAATACACTGCTACGTTCTGATATTTAGCACACTGCTGACAAGATTTACTACTACTGTTACTTACTGGTTAAGAACCATGTACAGGTGGAATTGTAAGTCACCTAAATAGGGTCCATGCAGCCTTGGAGAGCTGTCTTGCTGGAGATCAGTAAAAGACTCCCATCCCATACAAAGGGGAGGAGAAAAATCATTGGTTGCAGTCTCTGTTTTGGTTTTGCAAGTTCAATTACCTTTTTAGGTTGAGTCCTGTTTTATCTCAAAATTTATTTGAATAAATTTGAAAACCTTTCTAATAAGTACCTTGAAGCATGTCTTGCAATTGTTCAGTTTCAATCAGTGTTTGTCCAATTGTGGTATTACTTCTGTCATAGATGAAGAAAGCTGGAGCTGTTAAGAGTCAGGCTTCTCACTGCATCCCTGTTCTTAAACAATGGTCTGAATAGGTGAAAAATCATGACCAATAGCTTGAACTCTGAGGAGTTGTTTGATACCATTTTCTTGTCCTCTTCAGACAGCTTCCCACTGCCCCAAGGGATGTGTCCCTCCTGCCTCATATGGAAAATTGACCTTTAAGAACTAACTGTTTTAAAATAACTAACTAACTAACTAACTGACTAACTAAATATAGTCTTCTGGTACATGCTGAGTAATTTGAAAGATAACATACTGAACTTGATAATTTTTCCCATACCTCTGTCTCAAAAATCTTCAGATTTTCTTGTAAAGCAGGACACAAGCAATGGAGTAGTGTCAAATAAAGTTAGTGTGCTGCTCCAGAGAATGTATTTTGGATAGTCTTCTTTTTTCCTAATAATAGCTATGGAAAGAGAGCAGTAGAGGATACTGATATATAACTTGCTGTTCTTCACAAGTAGAGACAGAGTTTGAATTCTTGGATTTTTCCAACTTTTACCATTCTGTTTTTTAACATCCTTCATGGGAGGGTAGCAGAAATAGTGAGGAAATGCTATTAGGGAGTTAAATGTTCTTGTTATATCCAGTGTCACGTAAGTTATGGCTGTAAGTAGCTCGGACACCTTCAGAAAAGGGATTACTAAAACGCTGCCAAAGTGTTTATGTCAATCCAAACGATTTTGTGCCAGTTACTAAAATGGTATTGTAAATCCTTGTGATTTTTGACAGTCTTTTGACAGTCTAAGTCAAATCACTGCACAAGCTGATATGTCCACATGGTATGATATCAGTTTCCCAGCAGTCCAATAGTGTCTAATGATGTTTACTTCTTTATTCCTTTCCCCACTGGTAGTAGTTAGAGATGATGGTCGAAGTTATCAGCAGCAGGAACGAGAAAAAAAAATTGAATTCAAGGAAAAAATAATACTTATCTCTGAAACAGTATTTAATGGTAGTATTTGTAGTATGTTTAAGTAGCAGATAATTAGGACTGCTATTCAGAATGCTTTTTAACTTTGTTTTGTTATTACTGCATAAGTGTCTTCTAAATGTCTCTTCTTTAGAAACTGTGCCCCTGCCTGCTTGGCCTGATGACTAGTGATTTCACACTTACCCTTATTTATTTAAAGCCATGCCAACCACCATACTGAAATGTCATCAAGTAAAGCCCAGGTCTGCATGCTGACTGGTGATGCAAAGGTCTGCTCTCTAATAAAATGCAGCCCATGAAGGACGAGCTCCAAAAGGCAGCTACGCCCTGTCTTCAAGCATTTGCTCTAATTTCAAGGCTTTGCCATGTGGTGTTGCTCAATGTGCAGCAAAACAAGTTCTTGCGAGCCCCTTGAGCATTCCTCCACGTGTAACAGATTAAATATTCAGGCTTTGTTGACTCTCCCGCATGGCCCCCAAGGAAAAAAAAAAAAAAAAAAAAAAAAAAACCAAACCCAACAGAATTAAACCCAAACCTGAAATAAAAGACTCAACACAAGTATATATTGGAGAATTGTTTTGCTTTGTTGCAAAGTGCTGTTAATTACAGAGATGCTTAGTGCACTTCTGACATGTGAGCCATCAATCTAAACACTCCCAACAGTGATTTTGCTTTGGTTGTGCTTTGCTGCTTTGTACAGGACAAAGGGAAGGGAGTAAGTGTTGCAATATGTATTGTGCAATTCCTGACTTTTAAATAGAAAATGATAGGCAAGTCTGCATAGTCTTGCACACCAAAATTTAGCCACTGATTTTTGCCCCTCCCACTCTTCCTTATCAGGAATACTGGCTAATCAGGAATACCGGCTTCTTAAGGTCAAAAAGAGAGAAGGGGAAAAGGGTGGAGAGATTAAGAAGTGGCAGTACCAGAGGTATCTTGCTGTGAAGGGCCTTGGGCCTCCTTGGCCTTAAAGCTCAATCTGTAAGGTTACCTCTAGTTTATGATATCTGAGGGTAATTCTTAGACTCCCAGCGCAGCATCTTACCAGGAAAGGCAGCTGGGTCTGTATTGCTGAATAAGTCTTTTGGTAAAGTAGCTCTTCAGCTTTCTGTGTTTTTCCATCCGTGGAGTTGTAGCACATTCTTCCAGGGCAATTTCTCTTTCCTGTAGTGTCTCATCTAAAGTTCACTTGTTGTTCCTACAGTTTCTGCCTACACTGAAAAATCTTTCTGAGGTTTGGGGGACCATACATGTGCCCTCACTGTGTGGTGTTTGTGATGGCTAATCTTGTATGACTTGAAAGAGATCCCCTTAGAAAGGAGTAGCTCCAGTTAGGTGCAGACTGGGAAAGATTAAATTAATTATTCTTTGTGCAGTATGTCTTTCTGTCAGTTCAACAGAGGAACTAACTCTCATAGATAAAGGAGAGGTCTTGGGCAATAGGGCCCAGCTTTGAAAACCCTTGGTGATTTCTGGTTCTTGCTGAGCTTCTCTGATGCAGAAAACACTGAATGATCTGCATTACTATAATCACAATATCTTGCAATATCATGGGCTGGGCTGCTGGTAGTATCACGTATGTTCTGTGGTCCTTACTGGGATTCATGCCACATGCTGATTAACAGCATAAGGGATTTCCTGTAAAAGCTAAGAATCCCTCCATGTTGTGTCACCACCAGCATTTCCAAGCTCTCTTTTTGTCCAAAAGGAGTGTGAGCAAATTGCTACTTCCTACAGTTCTTCAATCCAAGCTGGTTCTTCATAGGCCTTCAGGCATGGCACTTCCTCCTTCAGGGTAGCTCTTCAAAATCAGAAGTGGAAGCAGAGCAGTTCAAACTGGGCTTTGCTCTTCCAGCAGCTGACAAGCAACTAGTTGGTGGGTGGGTGTTTGTCTGCATCCTTTCTTGGGTTTTTTAAAAAGTTGGGTTATGTATACATTCTTATTCTGCCTTACTAAATTAGCTGGCACAGAGGAAGCCTCTGAGAAACTCTTTAAAAATCTCTGCTTTTGGTAGAATTTTATAAAATTGCAGCATGTGACTAAATTTAAAAAAACCCAATGAAACAAAAAACCCAACAAAACAAAACATAAAATAAACGAACAAAAAAAAAAAAAAAGAAAAAAAAAAAAAAAAAAAAAAAACAAAAAAAACACACAGAAAAGCAGCCCTAAACAGACAAACAAATAACTCTGTATGGATATCATGGACGTGATTGATTTTGGAAAGTCTTCAAACAGGTATGCTGGCAAGGGCATTGCACACAGATGGAGATAATAGTGAAACAAAATTGAGTAGCTACTCATTTGCTGGATTTGGTCAGGAGAGATTTTAAAGGACACCTCTGAGACCTTTTTTCTGATGTGGTGATTTTTTAAAATGTAAACAAGCTACAGGGCTTAACAACTGAGGATTATGTCCATTGTAATTTTTTTACATTACTTTTACTAACTGTATTATATTCAAAATACTTCTCAGACAAAGTGGACAATACTAGTGGGCATCTTGCACTTGATTAAATGTAAAACATTTTCTTAATTTAGTGATGTGTTTAGGAGAATACTGTAACTTACTGAATATACAACAGTGATAACTGTGTTTACAATTATTTTAAAATTCCTACTGTTCAGTGGTAGCCAACTTGTTTGAGAATTGAAAGTAAGGCATACTGCAATTGGCAATCTTGGAAAAATTAACTCAATGCTGCTACCACTAAATACTGTGGGATGGATACCATGGGTTTAAATGGCAGCAGGATTGTATTCCAAGCCTCTGTCTTAAGTACTTAATGACTAAAAGGCGACTTGCCTTGTGCTCATTTATGTATCCCTGTATGTAGTACATCAGTTAGAAATCTGTTAATGATTGATTTGTAACATTAGGACCTTTATGAAGATCACAGTGGGGTTTTTGTTTGTTTTTGTTTGTGACCAGACACTTAGACATTTTGGAATGTATAACATTGATCCTTGTGCTGGAATTGTTTACATGCAAAACTGTATTTATGATTTTTTGCAAACTGCAATGTGCAATTTTGTACATGTGTTTTAAACTACAGAGTTTATAAGGAAGATATTGTATGTACAATACTTGGACATGAGTATTATTTCTTTGATATAAATATCTAGAGGAAAATTAAAATTGCTTTATATTCATATTTTTGGCTGTGTTTTTTATTATTTCAGCAAGAAATTTAAAAGCTGACTTAAAGCATAGTGATTTGGGCTTTTTAAAAAGTACTTTTAAATTGTGCTTGATACACTGCTTCCTTTGACTGTGTCATACTGAAGTGCAAGGAGAGATGAATTTTTTCTTGTAAAAATGTTGCTCTTTGGGATAACTTCCCTATATGTGTGTGTGTGTGTGTGTGTGTATTCCCTATATATATATATCTGAGTGCAGTTGCAGCTTGTAAATTAAACTTTTATAAAGAGAAAAAGAGGAGAAGAGACAGTCCATCTCTGATGATATCAGATTTCAGGCCCTTGCTAAGAAAAGCTGACTGGAGTCATCCACACTGTGGGATGGGTCTCCAGTTACCCATGTCTTGGCTTCTGTTGTTCAACAGAACAAGTGACAGTAAAATGTTTTTGCATATGTAACTGTTCTGAACCACATCTGGAGTACATCTGTTGAAACGAGGAGTTTCTTTCCTATGATCAATGTTCTGATGCACATTGATACATCCTGACGTAATCCCGAAGGAGAGCTACTCGGTAAACATCTGCTGAAGTGCTGAAAACACTTCTGAAGTCCCAGCTGGAAGCTCCCGTGCCCTGGGAAGGCAGCCCTGCCTTCCGGATACATCCTTACGAGCCAGTGACACTGGGGCGGAGCGAGTGCCAAGCCCCACCAAGAATGCTCCTGGGATGCCAAATTGAAGTGGGAGCTGAGAAGGCGGCAGTGCCGGTGGCTCTGGCTGCGCCGGCTCACCCGCCGGCACACAGCTGGACCCTGTCTTTTCTCTGGAGTGCCTGGGTTCCAGGTCCGGCACTGAAGGAACAGTAGAGGGAATGGGTTTTTCTGGTTTAAGATACGAATGCTGGGATTTCAACGGCATGACAAAGCTGGGGGAGGGGAGGGGAAGGAAGCTGCAAGCACACTGTCGTTGGAGCTGTTGTGTGCTGGCGCTTAGGTTTATGACCACATACTCAGTTTGGTGTAGGATTACTGTGACTTCTAAATGTGAACCGTGCCTCCTTCGGTGCTCTGGGAGTTGTTTAATGCTTTTTAATCTTCATGTGCACTGCTTCAGGCTGTGTTTCGCACATGCTAGTTAGACCATTCCTTGCAGACTTCCACTAAAGGCAGATTTCTTCATGGAAAGAAAGCACTGTAGCGCTGTTGCAATAATCTTCATGCTTTCCAAATTAATTGCAGTGGGGAAGTAGAACAACAAAATGGTGTCTGCCTTTAATGATTTGATAGATGTTTGAGCGAACTGTTAATTTTCTATGTCAATTTGAATTTAAGAGCATAGGAAAAGTGTTTTGAATATGTGATATGCAAGTCTACTTATTCTCTTTAAGCTTTGAGTTCCTCTAGCTCTGAGTGCCTCAGAATGGTGCTTTCAGAAGTCATCAGGAATGAGATAGTTGAGGCTGATTGTGCTTTATTATCCAGAGGGTGTGGAATAAAAGTGAGTGCTTTACACTGGCTGAATAACCTGCAGGATTGTGTTCAGGTTTTCTTTTTCTTCTGAGAATGACCCTTTCTTCTCCCTTTCTGTCTTGGAGTTCCTTGCAAGAGTGAAACAGATACGGCTCTTGCACAAAACCACGGTTCTAACACAGAACAGGAACTCAGAATGTATTCCTGGGCCCCACACATCTTCCAGACTAAGGGAGGCAAAGGCCCATTGGTTCTCCTGCAGCCTATTGTTTCTTTTCCTTCAGCCAAGGTGACTGAGATTCAGGCATAGGCTGTTCAGGAAGAATCTGACAGCTTCATCAGTTGCAGAAGACAAATAGTAGGTGACACAAAAAAGCTGTGAACTTTCTCACTTGTCCTGATGTGAGCTGGTTACTTTCTGTTTCATCTATAGCTGGCTGCATTAAAGTAATTTCTAAGTTTTCTCTTTCTCTGGTGTGACATAGTAAAGTGGAAGATATGACATGCAAGTTGCATTGGGTTTCCCCCACCAACTGTAAATTAGGTCATGAAGTGTAAATTACAAGATTTGGGCAGGTATTTCTGAGCCATTCTGCCAAATCTGAAATTTGCACTGTCATCATTCTTGCTACAACTGTCAAATGTCAGCCCCAGAAAGACCCAGCTGCAGGGTGGGTAGGGAGTTAATGACTCTGAATAATAATGAACTGATGGGTTCGTCAGTTCAAGGAGGTGGCTGGATGGATGTCAGCCTGTGGCCAGCAAGTTGGGCAGGGCTGGAGACCTGATTTCCTGAGATTCCAAGTTGTAAAGGCCAGTCACAAGATACCTTGGATACATGTAATGCCTCATGATCGACTGCTATGTGTAATGCATTGTAATGGTTGAATTCTGGAGGGTGTCTCAAAGCTCATTCTTCAGGTATCCAGTTACCCAGACCAGGAGATGCAGGAGAAGACAAATAGAGCAGCTAGAGCATGTAATTTCTGGCCATCACCTTGTAGCTTTTAGTAATCTGTGGGGGCACCTGGAGTCAGCCATTCTCTGTGCCATACTTTTGATTTAAAAGGGCTCCTGCTCTGCTCTGACCTGGCAGCACCTGTAGCCACAGCATCATGTAACCTTCAAGCAGCAGCTTGAACACCACAGTACCTGAGGTAGATAGGTCTGGGTTCAAATGTTTATCCTTTGCTTATTTTCTTGGTAATTTTTGTGTGTGTGTGTTTGTTTTCTTTAATCAAACAAGTGTTTTCCTTTGTACCTGATAGAATAGGTCCAGTTTCCATAGGGAGCAAAACATCAAACAGCTCAGTCATCCAGGGCCCTGAGCTTCAGGGCCCACCTGAAAAGAATATGAAATGGGTTTTTGGCTGTAACTATTACATCTGTTTGAGAGGTCTTAAGAAGAACTTATCCCAGGAGGAGTTTTCCAGCTGCCCATGGCCTGTGCTCTACCATGGAACAGCCATACCTCCGCGTTACTCTATTCCTTGTCAAACAGCTGGACCTCTTGTTGGCTTGGCCCTGATTAGATGCCAGGTGTCCACCAAAGCTGCTCTATCACTTCCCCCCACAGATAGACAGGGGAGAGAAAACATAAGGAAAGGCTCAGGAGCTGAGGTAACAACAGAGAGAGATCACTCACTGCTTTACCATCATGGGCAAAACAGACTTCCCTTGGGTTCAATTTACTAGCAGTCAAAATCAGAGCAAGATAATATGTAAAACAAATCCTAAAAACACCTTCTCCCCACCCCTCCTACCTTCCCCGGCTAAACTTTGTTCCCAATTCTACCTCCTCCCACAAATGGTGCAGGGAGATGGGGAGTGGGGGTTAATGGTGAGTTCATCACACATTATTTCTGCTGCTGCTTTCTCCTCAGGGAGAGGAGTCCTTCCCCTGCTCCACTGTGGGTCCCTCCCAGGTCACAAGTTCTACTAGAAACCTGCTCCAGCATGGGCTCTTCTCTCCATAGGTCTGCAGGTCCCTGCCAGGAACCTGCTCCTGCAGGGGCCCCCACAGGGTCACAGCCTCCTCTCAGGTACCCACTTATTCCAGTGTGGGGAATCTCAGTCCTGGCATCTGGAGCACCTCCTCCCTCACCTTCTCTCAATGTCTGCATAGTTGTTCCTCTCATGTATTCTCACTCCTCTCTTCTCTGGCCACAGTTAATGCTTTGCAAGAGCTTTTTTCCTGTTTCAAGGTATTGTCACAGAGTCATTACTACCATCTCTGCGTGGCTTGGCCTTGGCCAGCAGCAGATTCATCCTGGACCCATCTGGCATGGGCTCTGTTGGACGTGGCAGATGCTTCTGGTAGCTCCTCACAGAAGCCATCTCTGTAGTGCCCCCATTGCCAGAACCTTGCCATGTAAACTAAATACAGCCTCCCAATGCTCTGGGATTCCTGATGCTTATAGACAGTTGCAAAGAGAACTTTTTCTTCCTTTGCACCCTGTTTCCACCCTTTCTCTTTGTCTGAGCTCTCCTTTGGTGCCTCCCACTCAC